CTGGGGCCGCTCACTCGCCCCGGCCCGCAGGCAGAGGAGATCACGCTTCTGATCCGGCAGCAGGGCTCCGCGCGCGCCGCCATCCGACTCGAACTGTTCCTGCCTCCACAGCTGAAGCCGATGCGGATCCCGGATCCCCTAGACCGGCGAGAGGTGCATGCAAGCCCGGGGAGGGGCGGGAGGCCCTCGTCTCCACACACACTTAGCCCAAGCCTTGTCCCCGCAGAGGCGGCACGTGGAGTCCATCCTGGAGGAGGCCGTGGACGGCAGCATTTTCCCGCGGTCATGACGACCCGGTGTGTACCGCTGCGCCCCACCCTCCTACATAAAGTTCTCCTCCAAGGGCTCTCTGGTCTTTTCCTTCAAGGTCCCCAGGACCCTCGTAGAGCAAGGGCAAGTAGGAATACAGACTGTCCTACACCGGTGGTCACGGGCACCAGGGACAGCAGTGGGGCTCCCCAACAATGAAAGAGACAAGAGTGAATGCGTGTCAAAGTAGTACGGTGCAGAGAGCCTAGCCCCCAGCTCCAGCCTCCCCCCATCACTCTGGTGTCCTGGGGGAGCACCAGTGGACCCAGTGCAGAGGAAGGCAAGAGAACCTGCCTCAGCACCAGTGCCCCAGAAGCCCAGAAAGTCAGTCATCCCATGAACACGGTGGCAGTCTGGGAGAAAGTGATTACACCAACCAAAGCTGGCCTTTGGAGGGTCACCAGCTGTGCCCAGAGGCAGAGAACCAGAGAATGTAGAAGGAGTGACCCACGAAGGGGACAGAAGACCTACTCTCTGGTCTTCATCTTGAATAACAACCTCCTGTACCCACCTCAGCACCCAGCCTTCCCCAACACGCGAACACACACACATGCAAGCTCTCGAGCACAGGAAGGAAACTACCTCATCCCATTCTGACAAACAAGCCTGAGTCCTACAAGACCTCTAGACACTGGAAAGCCCCTGGTTTCTGGGCAGCTCTTACTCTTTTTTCCCCAGTGTGGTCTCTTTGCAGAGCCTGGAGTTTCTCTTGGCCCTTCCTCTCAGACCCTGCCCAGAAGGCTAAGCAGAGCTGAGAGCTACAGAGAAACACACAACCCCTTCCCCTGCCAGGTCACTCCCACTGGCTCTACCTGGAGCAGATAACAGATGTAGAGGAAAAGCCTGAAGTCAGAGCTTGGGTCCAGCAAGGAATACATTCACTGGTGGCCATTCCCTCGTCCTCTAGAACTTCTGTCCCCTTAACCAGCCCTTCTTCCCCTGCACCTGACCCTTTGCCTTTTGTTTGCTATTGCTGCCCTGGCCTTGATCCAAGACCAGAGATCACAAGTCAGCAACAGCTCCCAAGGACAGCTGAGTCTCAGGAAGAAGGAGGTAGGCTGGCGGGGCAGAGGGATGGTGGAGGTAGGCAGGGGCAGACAAGGAAGGGAAACGATCTCTTTGTCCGTGAGTGGTAGCCACGCATATCCCAGTGTGGCCCTCCTGGGCCTCTCCCGCCAAGCACCTTACTAATGGACCCCAGGATTTTGTCTCTTGGGGATTTACTGAGTGCCTAGAAGAATTTCTTCTGCTTAGTAAAGTCACATATTTATTTCATCATTTCTCTGGCCCTTTATTTCTTCATCCTTAAAATGGGGGTCACAGGGCTGTTCAAGAGGACAGAGGGCTGAAGACAAAGCCCAGCACCCTTAAAGGCCATAAAGACAATGGCCAGAGACAATTCTGCACCAGGACTGGCATCAGGTACCCCTTGATCCCCATGACAAGGAGGGGCTTGCTCTTCAGAAGTCTAGACAAGGTATGAGGTTGCTTCTGCCTGCAGAAAGCCCTACAGAGAAACAAAGCCTATGAGCTAAGGCCTAATAAGTGAGGCCTTGTGGCTGTGAGTGTGTGTGTGAGTGTGTGTTTTGGAGTGACCCGATGCTCCTGGTTCAAGACCCATCCCCCATCACCACCCACCCGGCCCTCTTGGGCTCCTCCTTGGATTTTGGGAATGCTTTGTTGCAAGGCACATATAGCAGGCCTGAAGGGACAAAGGACACTGAAAATGGGGACTGAGGGGAGAGAAAAGTGTGCTGACTCTCACCTACTGCTAGCTGCTCACACCTGCATTTCCCACCATGCTTTTACTACAGGATCGGTCTGGTGGTATAGCCTTGTTTGGGTGCTGGTCCATCTCTGCAGGTCTCCCTGTCCTCACCCGTACCTACCTTTCAGGGCTGCTACCAGAACTAAAGCAGCTGCCTCCTGTCCCAATGGACTTCCTGCCTCTCCCCCAATTTTACTGTTCTATCAGCACAGTAGCCAGAGGGTTCTGCAACACAGTCCTGTGTACACAGCACCACAGGCAGCCTGGTGGTCCCCAAGCCCTTGCCCAGCTGCTCTTTGTTCAGCCAAGCCCCAGGAGCACTGTGGAAATACCTTCCTCTCCTCAGCTCTTGCCTACTTCATTTCTTGTCAACCGCTCACCCCTACCCACCCCCAGCAGTCAACTCCTGGCTGGTCTGTCCAGCTCACTACCTGGTGCACAAGGGATCCTACATAGTTGCTGAATGAATGAAGAGCTTGTATGAAATCTCCACTTTTCCTCTCCGAGTTCTGTTCAACATACGGCATTTTGTGAGCTGCCTGCCACACCTGGAATTTGCCAGGCTTCAAGCGGTGCTGGGAGAGCAGAAATCACACACCTCAAGGAGACAACAGACTGTGCAGACCAGATCCAGAGCAGACTCAGGGACACTGGACACTGGACCAAAGCATGATGGGATAACCAACAACCCACATTAATAACCCAGTCAGAAGGGACAAGAGTGTGTCAAAGGGACAGGGGCAAAAGGGAATGGGTCCACACACACCCTACACACAGTGGGCATGACTGGTCGCAAGCACCTGCATTCTCAGTGCCAACTGCACTGTAGGACAGCGCCCTTCTCCTTCCTGAGGAAGCCCCACAGCAGGCGGCAGGCTCTTGACCCCATTTTACCAGTGAGGCTCAGAAAGGCAAGGACCACCGGTCACGCCTAACCAGGGACCCCTTCTTGTCCAACAAAATAAGTAGCGCCTGGGGTCAGCTCTCGCGTGATGAAAAGGCTGGAAGGGCCTGAACAGTCTGCGGCTAAGCTCTTGCCGCCCTCCGAGTGCCTCATCCCTTGGGCC